GAGGGGCGGCCGCGTGGCGCTTTTGTTGCCGGCGGCAGCCGAAACCGAAACACTTTCACAAAGCAATCTGCTTTTAGTCCCATCGTATCACTTGTGGGCATTAAAATAATTATACTGAAAACACACTGATGATGAAAGAAAGATTCCTGACCTCACTGTAGGGTTAAATAGAATACTCCCAAGCTGTTGCCGGCGCCAGCCGAAACCAAAACAATTTCACAAAGCAATCTGCTTTTAGTCCCATCGTATCACTTGTGGGCATTAAAATAATTATACTGAAAACACACTGATGATGAAAGAAAGATTCCTGACCTCACTGTAGGGTTAAATAGAATACTCCAAAGCTGTAAGAATTGTTGGGACACTGGATATTGCACGTGCTGCAAAGGTTTCTCATGATTTGTCCTACACTCGTCGCTGTTTAAATCCTTGAGTCTCTTTAACATAATTCACAAAATATATGCAGACACTACACAACCATAACACAACATCAAAAAATGCTGCAAGTCCACATCACATGCTGGAATCCTACCCCCCAAGCGACACAAATCTCATCGCAACCCAACAGAGAGATGGAACGTGGATCCTTAACAACAGAAGGACTTCCGTGATATGTCCCTGTAATCTCCAAACATTTTCACTACAAGGATTGTTCCCCAGTGTTGATTACAACTTAAAAGCAATCCAAAAGCACAAGTCTACATACTTATGTCCATACCTTTGTTTTAACTTCTCCAAAATGAAATAAGTACTTTTGTCAGGCCGCTGGATCCTGCCATACATTGAGAGATCATAAATAATTCTGTGCAATAGTAAGCCGAGTACTCCACTCTAAAATAAAACCAGTTCAGAGAGTTCTGCTTCCTGCAGGGATTTCATTTTAATGAAACATGCTGCATTTATCTAAAACATTTAATAAAACACCACAACAGGCTTATTTGGATCATAATATGCCACTGGCTGGCTAGCTCCAGCTGACACAGCTGATCAATTAAAGTTCACAACTATTAAATACAGAAAAGCTACAAACTGCAATACAAGAGATGACATTTTTAACTGCACGGAAGTTAGTGCATTGGGGATAAACTCTGTACAACTGTTTAACACCTTCTGCATACGCACTCCTGGGGGGACTTGCACCGACTCTGCAGAATTACACAGCCCTGCAACAGTATGGCTTCCATTCACATCGATGACACTATAAAGTGAATTATTTTCTATTTAAATTCAAAAAGCAGCAATGGAACAAAAATGAATTATGCGTTACGTGTCTATTGAACCTGAGAAATTAAAGATTAGCTGTAAATACATTTGCATGGTATTAAAATTACCCACATGAGCTTACTAAAGAAAGAAAAGCAAAAAATACACACCTTCGTTCCAGTATGCGCATACACAAATATCTCATACATGTATACAGAATGATATGAATACCGTGTTACTTAACTGTGAATTTTTATTACTTTATTCATTGTAAAGTATATGCATAGGGAAAGTTATGATGTCCTGCAAGGACTATATCGTTCCAATTTGAAAAAAAAATAAAATGACTAAATCAACACAGAATGAAACGGTTCTTTCCTCCTCCCTCCTTCTGCACTATTTAAATTTAATCCTGATGCTATCCTCTGGCAAAGTATTGTTAACTCTAATTCAAAAGCAGAGTACGTGTTCATTACCTTGTGTAAAGGCTGCCTGTTTGCAGAGCTCTGCTTCAGCCTGGGGAACTAGTGGTTTCTCAGAGCTGCAAGGTTGTGTCGTACCCAGTTAGGGGCAGACAGACACACAGACAAAAGTAATTTCAACTCTAAAAAGCCATTTTAAATAACTGCCAAACTGAACTGTGCTGTTAACATTGGTTTCTGTGCTGCTCTTGATTAAGCAACGGAGAGCAAGCAGTAAGAGGCCAAGTATTAAGTTGAGCATCAACTCTGCGCAACGCACAGATCGAAGCACGGGCTCTCAAGGGCTTTAATCAGCTGACTGCTGAAGCAATCGTCCAATGGTGCGGAGCAAACAGTGCAGCTCTTTCATTATTCTGCCTTCCAGCTGCCAGCGTCAGTGAAGCTCCAGCCACACAGGTGTGAAAGGCACTACTGCATCCTGCGGCACGAAGCTGGAATGACCCTCCAGCTACTTTACAAAGCCAAGAGGGCCTGCAACGAGCATGAGGTAACATGTGTGCAGCACCACTCATTAAACACTTCTCTGAGACAGGAACAGTCTACCCAGAACCACCAGCTCCACGTAGGCAGTTCCAAAGCGAATTGCCCCAGCCATGCTTTTAAAAATGGCACCTTCCTTCCACTGTAATTGCGCTTCGATTCTGGGAGATGGTCACAAATTTGCTCATTTGAATTCTGCAAGAATCAGCTTCTCACTTGCAAATTATTCTAGTGTCGTAAATACCAAACATCTGGGCCAGCTATCAAAGGTCAAAATTACTAACAGAACATTTTCTATTTTTATTGTTAACCTCTACACTGGAAAAACAAGATGTTAACATGGTTCTGTATGCCACATATCGTGAATCTGTGGTTTTGTGGAAAATACTTCATTTCTGATGGAAGATAGGGTCCATACGACCTGTACTGAAAATATAATTGAAATCCCTTTTCTTTTAAAGTGGCAAAAGAATTACTGGGGGGCAAATGTTCTCTTCAGAAAAAGAGTCTAAGTAACAACAACAAAAAAATAATCAGGAAAAATATTTTGAGCAAGCATGGTACCAGCAAAAGACAGGGGGAAGATTGCAAAGGTCTACGGGCGATGACAACGTGTTCCACTGTTTCTTCCCTACTGTGGCATCTCTCTCGCACTCCACGTTTACAGCCCCAAGTCTGCAACCACAGTGCAGACACCGATGCTCCTCACTGCAGCCAACAGGACTATGTCCAGTCCACCAGCGCACCCTGTCTCTGAATATCAAATCCGCACTCTGAGCTCTCCGAGGTGTACTTCAATGGTTCCCTCAGCACAACTTCGGTGCCACATAAATACACAATCGCTGTTTTACTTCCCTCAAGGAAAAAAGTCTTCCTACCTCTGTTTCATAGCATGTAAACCCCTGCATGATTAGCAAGATGAATTTTATTACCATATAAAAATCGCACATTATATAAATCTTGTTATGTATTATTAATTAAATATTGAAACACTGACATTGTCATTCATAATTGGGTATTTGTTAGCAGAAAAACCATAATGCCAACATACAATACTAGAAAGTGTAGAAGCAGGGTTGAATTTCAAGCCGTTTAATTGACTTGGCAAAAGTTTTATGTTAAAATAGAAATTAATTTCACTTAATCATAAATAAAGCCTTTAAAAAAAGCAATCCAACTTTACTGGCCCCTGTCCACGAATTCCAATATTTTCGATGTCACAAATACGTTCACACTTCTGATCTTACCATCCAAATCACTCTCAAATGTTTCCGCTGATACCCAGTCGGTGGCTGGTCCGGTCCCATTGACAGTCAAGGCAGCTACTCGGAAGCTGTATTCTGTACCTCGTTCAAGACCTACGAGACAAAGAGTATCCAAGATACCAACACAGGAATTCCAACCGGGAGCGGAGGAATCACAGTTGCTAATTAAAATCCAGGTATAACCTGACGGCAAAATGCCTTCTGCCCCACCACTGCCACGTGAGCGTAACAGGAGGTCAGGAATGGAGACAGCACGACCCACAGCGCAGCTCTGCGCAGGTACCTGACACCAGTTCGGGTGTGACAGCTAAACCCTGACCAGAGGCACCCAGGGCTGTGACACTCTGCGGGCTGTCCCTGCAGGCCCCTGGAAGAGACTGTGAGGTACTCTTTGCAGCCAGCCTTGATTTCTGGCTATTAATCAGCTTTAGGTCCAGAACTACCTACCCCTGTAACTAAACACAGGTGTACAGTACAGGCAACAAGTGACCAGAATGAGCGAATAGTTAGTTTATGGTACATAAGAGTGTATAATCAATAATCAAAGCAGTATGAAAATGCACTCAAAATTTGATATATGGAACTTCCTAAACAGCCTTTGTTGCCGGCAAAAACCCCATGCTAGTTACAGGCATACATCAACTCCTACTCTGGGATAAAACTGAAATTTACGGACTCACAGCTGGAGTTTCTGAGAACAAATCAAAACATCTTGTTGAACAGTGCATATTCATTTTCTAGAGAGCCACAATTTCTTCTCTTTTGGCCAAGTGTTCATTTACAGAGATTTGAAAAATGCACAAACTGTAGTCTTGCTCCTGTTCTCACATACTGTTTATGTCCGCTATGCAAAATTCTAGTTTGGGTAACAATATATAATTTATGCTAAGCAATGTACTAGATTGGATTTTTTAAGTGCACAAAATAAAGCGAGGATATATTATATTCATGCCAGAATGAAGGAAAAAGGATGTTTGTGAAACTGGGTGCGATGATGTGCACAGATGTCCGAGGTAAGCGACTCACAGGACTCTTGAGCTGGGCTTGCTGGTGAGCACTGCAAGACAGAGCACACACCCCTACATTCTGTCCGTACGCAATGAGGAGAGTCCGCCAAACACCCAGCCAGGCTGCAGCGCTTCAGCATCCTTCTCCTCCATATGTTTAGTTCTGGCATCTGGGCAGACACAATGAGCTCAGGACCATCTCCTCCAGGCAAACCTTACGTCGTTTATAAAGGTCTTAAAAAGACTTGTCCAGTCCACTTAGCAAATCAATGGCAAAATTAGGGCTGGAAAACAGCTCATGTCATTTCGGTTACCACGTTACCTCAGAACCTCCAAACACTCATTGTGTGTTCATTTTCTCTTGCAAGGTAAGAACCTACATGAACATGTCTTATTCTCAGCCTCAGCCCACTGGAAGCACCTCAAGCTCCCCTCTGATAACAAACGCTCGCAATGGCTCACCTTCAATAAGCTGAAAAAGCTGGGTCCCACCGATGCTCTCCGTTACATCACTCTTCCGGGACACCTTACGGTAGCGAATTTTGTAGCCAGTGATTTGCCCGCTGTGTGTCCCCGCAGGAGGAGGCTGCCAGTGCAGCATGATGCTCTGCGGAAGGCAGCAGGGCGTTACAAAGGCATAGCCTCTCGCGCAGCCAGAGAAACTACTCTCCTGCTAACACTCCACGAAACACAAGACAAAATACGCATGCAGAAATCTCTGCGTTTCCATCCAGTAAAACACAGGCTCTCCGTAAGAAGTAAAAACCCCACGATTCGGCAGCGGCCCAGGTCACACACGTGCCTGCAGAAGTTCACCTCAAAGCGCTTCAATCCTATTAGACTTTCCGATTCCAATTTCACAAACGGCCCCTTGGGCTTCCCTTCCATCTTCTTCGGGTTATCTTAAGATATGGTTTACCTAAGGATCCGTCTTTAAGAACTGGTATTTTCTCTAAAGGGTACAAGTTATCTGAACTGTAGTTTAGGTGCATGAAGTTATTTATTTTTAATCATACAGGCAGTAGAAGAAGGTATTGGGAAAAGAGTTTAGAAAAAGCCTTTAAAAAAATCTCCAATCATAATCACTGAAGTCGTAATGGCTAGGTATATAACCTTCTCTTCTGAAGCGCCCAGGACACTATAAATGTGCGCATGTATGCACACACACTGTAAACAATAGTTAATTAACAGCAACACGTTCCATCTCTGGTGCTTCAGGCTCCTGAGCCTGATTAAACCTCTTTCATAACCAGCCTCCATGCTTTGGTAGGCTGCCACTGTCCTCACCGCACTCCGTTATGCACAATCCACAGTGGGACTGGAGGTTCTAATGCTTCAAGCCCCACGTTCAGATATTCTCCTGTCAGGCAACTCACACACAAATGGCTGAAAAGCAGCATAGTAGAAAAAAGTCCCAAAGAAGCTCTAAAATTTGCTTGATCTAAGACCCACCAATCTTTCATTTACCCATTACCAACAGGAAAATCTCCACATTTTACCTTGGAATTCCGTACCTCCAGCGTTAGATTCTGTGGTGGAGCACTGGGGACTAGAAACATTAAAGGAATTACAACTCCAAAATTTCCATATACGGTATCAAATACTGTATTTCCATACACAACAACTCTCTTCTGAAAGTACAAACCATTCTGGTTTAAGAGACTATATAAAGTAACTACAAAATTCTACCAGACGTACTTTACGACATACAGTGACTAGCTCAGGTTTACAAATTTTCATCACAACGAATCAACTCACTTTTTATTCAAGTTTTACCTATCACAGGTATCTAAATAAAAAATGTCTTATACTTAAAGGTACTTTCCATAAACTCTAAGAAAAGAGATCACATTCAGTACTTTTCAAAATCAAGTCTTTAATTTACATGCTGGATACTGGGAAACCCCATTTAAAATTCTAACTATGTTTTCTGTTATTGCGACTCGCTGTAACAGGAGAAACTCAAAGACAGCCAACAAGTGTCGGTGCTACTGAAGAGGTGAATCGCATCGCAAAGACAGTTTCTGCTATCAAACCTCCATTCTTTATTAGTTCTTTACTAGCTGCAGCAAATTGCTGGTCGTGACAGTGAAACTCCATTAGACAAAAAGGCAATGTACGAGAGAACCGGAGACCACGGCATACCTCGCCACAGCACTTCAAACTCACGCATGTTATCTCAGAGGCAGAGATAATGGTTCCCCAGCAGGAAGGTGAAGCTCCAGCAAAGCACAAGGACGGGGAAGTAGCACAGCAGGGCTAAAGATTGTTCCGGCCTGAGTAATGTATTCTACAAGTAACTCACACCAGCCACAAGAACAGCTAAGAAACCACTCCCGAGTGCATAAAGTGAAAGTAGCACTGCGGTAAGTGAAAGGCACACTGCGGTGTGGTTAAATAAATACCCCGCTCCCACTGTCCCACCACAGAAATGGAGACAAGGAGGATTTGTTTTTCCTTCTCTCTCACCAGCTGAACTGAGTCTGAAATCAGCAGACCTAAGGATTGAGCGCTATGTCCTTTAAAAAGCAACACAGGTTAAGAGGAGGAAATGAACTACAGTTAAGCTTTTTTTGCTGTTTGTTTGTGTTACACAGTTGGTGCCTGCCTTCAGCACAACCTTAAAAAGAGTCATGGATTTCACACGGAGTGATTAATAATTAATGCATATATTGGAAACTTGGTGAGAGAAAGACAAGCAGCAGGACACAGGAAAGGATACATGCATGTGAATATATTCGTACACACGTATTTCACCACATGCACAGTTCATGTGTTGGGTTTACAGTTGGACTTCATGATCTTACAGGTCTTTTCCATCCTATGATTCTATGACTCTTTTTATGTCAAAGCAAGCTTAGCTTAGACTCAGATCAGATTAAGAACTTAACCAGGCCAACAGATAAAATGGATTTCCTGGGGGCTGATACCCCATGCTTCGACAGGGAAGGCACAGCCGAGGCCGGGATGCTGTGTACCAGCCACTCAGGGAGGAGGACCATGACATGCTGACGGCTGAGAGAGACTGCAAGGACGAGTTGGTAAGGGAAACGCCCTTGATCGGGGCATGAAGCAGAGCTGACATTTCTAGCTGTGATACACGATTGCTTCCCATAGATCAGGAAGACCATGAGAAGAGAAGCAATCCCTGTGAGCAACATGTAAACTTTGGTTTGAATTGCAATACCTGAAGTGCTGTCCTGCAACAAACCACCATAACCTACTTAGATCAGGAGCAAACACCTACATAAAAATACGGAAGCTTGTTAAGTAGAAGCTAAAGGAAGCTGAGAGTGAAATCCCTGTAGGAAACACGGAGATTGCTTACAGACATCACAATAACAACACACAAGAAGAAAACATGCATCTTTCATCCAGAAAGATTTGAGAGACTGAAAGGGAGAACTGCACGGTGAAGCAGCAGGGTTATAAGATTGTAAGAAGCAAGATGACATCCTTCAGAAAGCTTTAGAAATTTCTATAGGTTAAATGTGAAAACGTAAATTGGGCCAGAAAGAATTTTGGGAAAAACTGAAAATGACATTACAACTAAAAATAAATTCTTCTTCCAACAAATAGGGAGCTGGAAGCCCTTTAGAGAAATTGTAGAGCTAGCAGATGGTCAGGGTATAACATATAAAGATAAGGCCACGCAACGATCTTTGTGTCTGTATTGAGTGGAAGGAAGCAGAGAGGTTTCCATGACACCCTTTAGGAGGGACTTACAGGATCTCTCAAACTGAAATGTCAATAGAAAGGATTATGGCAGAGTCAGACATAACGAAGAGCAGTGTGGTGCCAGGGGTAGACGCTAAGGGAACTTGGGAACGCAACAGTTGCGTGACTTATAGTAGGCTGTAACCTCTGACAAGTTACCTAGATACTGTGAGATGGGAAATTTGACGCCAGTATTTAAAAGGGGTTCTTTCTGAGAAACTTTAAGTAGTACAGCAGAAACCTGTATTAGGCAAATAAACTGAAACTACAATAAAGCATGAATTTCATAGATACATGGAGTAATAATACGTATTTATCACTTTAAGGGAAACCCTGCATCACAAACCTGCTGGAGAGCTCGTAAGAAACGAAGCAGCAAGGGGACAGGAGAGAAGTCCTTGCCTGAGTAAACAACTGGTTAAAAGCAGGGAAAGAGAAGGTGGGAACGTAAGTGGTGGGAGATGACCTGTGGAGCTCCACAGCGGTATGAGCCAAGACCCCTGTTGCTCAACACGTTCGTAAGTGATGAAAGGGAGATGAGCAGCGAGGTGACAAATGTTCATGCAGACAAGATCTGATGATAAAGAACTGCAGAAAGACCTCAGGACTTTTGGCGCCTGGATATTCAAGTGACAGATGCAATTCATGGTAGATAAAGTTACACACATGGGAAAAACGATCCTGCTCCTATACGCAAAATGACGGCTCTGAGCAGACCAATTCCACCAAGATCCATCTACTCCAAAAGTGCCACCTCAGTGCTCAGAATGAGCCAAAAAAGTCAGTCCAATGCTGGTAATTAGGCACTTGCATCTTTGATACAATTTTAGTCCACCGCAACTCCATTTCGAAAGCACATAGGAGAAAAGAAACCTAGAAAAAAGTTTAGAGAAGGGCCCTGACGGTTGAAACAGCTTCCACAAAAGAAACGGCTAACCATTTCTGTGACTTGGGAGTCTGGGAAAGACACACAGGAGGGAGAAAGCAGCAAAGGTCTATAAAATGCGGAGTGGGACAGAGAGGGCTGGCAGACACTGCCGATTCACCCTTTCAGGCAGTACAGCCGTAGGTGTGACACTAACACACAGCAGGTTCCAAACGCACAAAAAGGGGTGATTTTCCACAGAAAAATTAGTTGTAGGATCTTTATCCCCTTGGTGCTGTGGACGATAAAAGCTGACATGGGTTAGAGGATGCTGACAGGGTTCACGGAAGAGAAACGGAGTTACTAAACACACAAAAACCGCTGCGGAGTCGAGAATTCCCTAGAAAGAAACTTCTGGACAGAAAGGGAATCTGGGACATTACTCCGCTCTGCTCGGCTGTTCTGCTTTGGGTCACTCCTCCAGAGAGGATCCCAGGTTGGACTCACTTTTGGTCTGACTGTTCTTTTATATAAACAAACTTCTCTACAAAAAATAAAAGTTAACGTTAACTCTGATCATTCTACAATTGTTCACATATCTGTATTTGCTCACATCACCTCTTTATTTGCCTTACAGAAACTGCTGTTACCCCTTCCTGCTTTCATCATCATACGCAGCTGATTTAGCAGTGTCTGTGCTGGAGTCCAAAGACGTGCAACATTTTCCCATGTGACCACAATTAAAATAAAAACACTCCAAAAGCAAAAGTCTGCTCATATGTAAAAATATTATAGAACCTAAAAAAATAATTTGGAGTTGTTGCATTCAATATAGTTGGGTTTTTGTCTGCTCTTAATACTTTGCAGACTCACTAACCCATGAAATAAACTACTGAAGTTGAAATGAAGGACACCGTTGTTTCACAATCAGAATCCCAGATACTTTTGCAGGTACAGTAATTTTCCTTCACCTAATTTGGAAAGCCTCCAGGGTAATTTTCACCACGTATGGCCATACGCAACAACAACATTATTAATAAAACATGCAACAATGAACAAAAACCATAGAAGTCTGGTTAAAAATTCACTTACAGGAAATTACCAGCTAATTCCTGGGGAGAAAAAAAAAAAGGAATAAAGCAGCTTACCATCTGACAACGTTCGTACAACAACATCTTGGGTCGAGACTCCAGGACCGTGTTTATTGTAAGCTACCACTCGGAAACTATACTCAGTGTATTTCTTTAATCCGTTAATGGTGTAGGAGAGTCCTCCTACATCAACATCCTGTGCATAACGAAACAGACACATGAGTCAAGGCCAGCGCTGGGTCTGCAGCTCTTACAGACGTCTGAAGAATTTCAGTCCCGTAACGCTCAGAGTCAGATGCAGGAAGGACCCCTTTCTGCAGCACCGGCGGGCCGAATCCCCAGCTTGCACACAGCCTGGACTTGTACCGATGCTAACGCTGAGCTTGCAAGAGAAAACTCTACCTGTCGATTTCAGTCATTACATTGAAAATGGCTCCGTACGTTAAAAGGGATCTGACACACTTGCCTATCAGTAAAAATCATTACTGTATTTTGAACAGTGGGATGCAGAAGTAGCAAAGGTAATTTCATCTGAGGAATACAACATTCCTGTTTAAAAACTTCTATGAAAAATTACTGTAAATGCTAACAAAAATATGCTTCCCTTAGCTTTTTTTAAAGCTGAAGTCATATTCATATGCAATTGGGTGGGAAATTAAATGACTGGGATTCATTCTCCGAAAGTTGTGACTGTTCTCAGGTGGCGAGCGGTACGTGCACAGAACATACTGGATTCTTCCAGTAGAAGTGTAAGAAAATTCCATCAATTAGACACTCACTGCTATCAAACTATCAATCACTGGATCATAGAACTCAAGAAGCAAGCACAGTTCAGATTAAGGATGATGCTAAAATCAGTAATTAGCCTACTTTACTAAAATAAAACCAGCCAACCTGTAGAAACTATGCACGCACCCTTTACACCATCTGAACCCGAACTCTGACCCGATGATGCAGCTATTATGTGAGTTTTCCTCTTGTGGTACGATGGATATCCCCAAAGGCTTCTTGATGCTGATGAATATCTCAATAAGCCATCACAAAAAAATAGTTTCCGTTCCATGACACAGACATTTCATGCTGGATTTTTAGTTTTACAGATCTCCCTAATTTAGGCTAAAGGATTCCGTCTATCAGAAAAATGAACACTTCACAAGGTGTTTCTAGAAATTTAAGGTAAAAACATAATAGAAGAAAAAATGCCGCTAACGGCACTATGTGCGACGCAGGAAGAGCCAGGCTCTGTACCTGCTCGGTGTCCTGCCCCTTCTCCATGTAATAGAGCTTGTAGTTCTGGATTTCTCCGTTGCCCGACAGTGGCGTCTCCCAGGTGACCGTAACGGCAGTGGGCGAGCTGGCGTACGCTCGGATGTTGGGTGCCGGACCAGGGAGCTGAACTGAAATGCAAGCACGAAATTCTGCTCATCACCAAGCCTAACCATTCGCTTTTCCAGTAGCTAATTATTTTAGCGTCAACTTCACTATTAACGAACTCCAGTTAAAAGATGGGTATTTTTTCACATTTCAGCATATCACATGGGTTCATCAGTGGGGGTAAAGGTAGCACCAAACTTCTGAAGGAGATCCTGCTCCCTGGGCCAGATTCCTTTGGTCCTGAGTGATGTGAACAAATCACAGACTTTGCATTTTCTGAAAGTTTTTCTTCCTTCTCTTTCAGTTAACGACAATTTGCAAGTATTCCTTTTATAATTTAACAAGGAATGCCTTCTCAGTTTTTCTTAAGGGTGAGAAGAGTGAGGCAGGTGTTGGTCTCTTCTCCCAGGTAATTAGTGATAGGACGAGAGATAATGGCCTCAAAGTTGCGTCAGGGGAGGTTTGGATTGGATATTAGGAAAAATTTCTTTACTGAAAGAATAGTCAGGCATTGCACCAGGCTGCCCAGGGAGATGGTGGAGTCCCCATCCCTGGAGGGGTTCAAAAATCGTGTAGATGTGGCACTTCGGGACATGGTTTAGCAGGCATGGTGGTGTTGGGGTGACAGCTGGACTTGATGATCTTAGAGGTCTTTTCCAGCCTCAATGATTCTATGATAATAAATCATATAAGCATAGCAACATGGTAACGTGGAAAATAATTTTGAAACTATGGTCTGCAAGTGCAGCTTTTAAGAGCATCAACTTATTCTGGGAAAGGTCATGAATGGGCAAAACAAAAAATCAATCCCCAAGTCCAGAAGACTCGAAATATTTACAGCTTACCCTCAGGCTGCGTTGCCACCTTCAGCAGCACTGAGCTCTCTCCGGGACCGTGCCTGTTCTGAGCCACCACTCGAAAGACATAAACTGTTTCTGGCATCAGGTTCTGGATCGTCACTTGCGTCTCTCCAGGATGACTGGTATTTTCAACACGCTCCCTTGAGGAAAGACAAGGTTTGGGCACAGAATCACTGCTTAGTAACAGGGTTTTTGAGGGGTAAATAGAGGAATAGTTGCTATTAAGATGTATCCCATTTGAACGTATCTAATGTGCTAATGACGTGGTTACTTACACTGCGTTGACTACACAATAAAGCAGTAATACACCAAAACTGCTGGCGACAAACAGCTTCCAATTTTGTAACTTCTCTTTGAAAAAAAAACCACGCACTGAAGTAAAAGAATAAATTATACTCGACAACACAACGTCCTAAGTAGTTTCTCTGTTATTCTTGTAACAGCATGCGGTAATTCACAGTGACAGTTTATCTGACTGCTCTGAAGCCAGAAGAAAAAATGTTTAAGCAGCACACACAGTCTGGCGGGATTTAAGGCATTTTTGTTAATATTGTAGGGCTGCTTTTTGTGTATTTTTCAAAGAGGCTGTTTTATTGTATCCAACCTCCAAACTTTACTTAGTTCCTCCCTAATATTTAGATTTTTTAGAAACCTCCACGGGTTCTGACTCGCATACAGCCAGGCAGACAGCTGTGGCATTTACGCTATTACCACACAAGTCGTGGAGTCAACAAAAAGCAACATCTGCCCGTGTCGCCGCTGCTCTCGATCCGCCTGCCGCGCGAGCAGAAGCCATCCTTCAGCAGCAGTTCCCCGTCACGCCGTGCCCTGGGAATCGGCACATGCGAGGGCCTTCTGCAGCCCGGCATGAAGATGCTCACCTCTGACAACGCCGAGGAGACGGCTCCTGGCCCCCAGCTTGTCTGCCGGCGCCCGGCGAGCGCGTGTACTGCGCGGGAAGGAGCTGTTGTGTTTGGCGCAGCAAGACAGCCGACATTTTGCAGGCTGAAAGCCGTATTCCAGCTGGGAGAAGACACTGGGTGCACTGAGGCAGCCAGCAGGACTGCTGCCCTGCCTTTAGAGACCCCCAGGGATGGGGGAACTGGCCAAGCCCTGTGCTGAGCACCGTTCTGGAAACACGCTCGGATCTGATCAACCTCCGGGGAAGATGAAAAGATCGATCATCAGCTGCCTACAGCCTTTATTCCTGACACACTGCTGCCGGCACGTGAGCGTTCGCAGAGCTGTCTGGGGCACAGCCTCCACACACTGTCCTTCCTTCAAAAGCAACCGTCTGCTCCCAGGAAATACAAATAAAAGCAGTATTGCAAAAGAAGAGATCAACAACTTCCCCACTGAGAAAATAAAGGGAAAACGTGACTATTTTGAATACAATTCTTTCCCTTTGTCTGCCAGACTTTGTTTAGCTCTACAGTAGAGGGCAGGCAATTCTCATCCCAATGATTAGCTGCTATTAAATCATTTTTAATGCAGAAGGCCAGGCAAAATTATTCCACAGTCTCCCCTTTCCTACCTTCCAGCCATTATGCTTTAGTTTATATCACGGAAATATGATGCCAAAATCCCCATTTTTAATTTCTTTCTTTTTAAATCAACTAGTACGGTTGATTTAGCATAACCTGGTGGAAAACATTCTGAAATCCCTGTTATTTCTGCACTGTTACACTGTCTCTGTACAGACGGAAACAATCCGCTTTCTGTAACTAAAGATCTGCTTAAACACATTTTCTAGAAGATTCTCCTTCATGAAAGTTGAGCTAAAATGACACTGCATAAACAGCTTAATTTATTTCAGATTTTTTTTAAATGAGCAGCATCATTATAGCATATTTGAATTAAAACTGTTTACAAAAGATTTTTCTTCTTTTTATGTTTATTGAGTATTTTTTGCAAGAAAGAAGCTGAGAGGGAAGAGGGGCACACACTAAGGAAATATCACACCCACCACAGAACAAAACTGGGGGGGCAGGGAAAAAGAGAAATATTTTCCCTCACTAACTTTTCCACTTAAAAAGTTTCCTTGAAAATGCATTTTCAAATGGATAGCTTCCTTCAAGATGTGTCTCAGATATGATGATGGCATCTGAAAACCCAGGGTCACAGCTGTGGAATAACACTCGTCTCCCATTGACATGCAAAATATATTGCATTTTCTGCCTGAAGTGTAAATGCACACACTGATTCTATCCAGGAAAAAAAAAAAAATCAGCAATCCAAAGTTATTATTTAAAATTACAAAAAAAAAAATTATTTTAATGGAAAGACAACATTTATCAAAAACCTGACACCTCAAAGTATTCCAGTTTTCAGTAATGTGCCTTTCCTCGCAACAGTATGTTAAAAATATGTTGAGATTAATCTAATTAAGTGCTACATGAATCTCTCATTTACAGCCTTTCTTAGGGAGCCTTGAGCACCTTTTACGAGCTCTGATGTGTTTAGGTAGGCACAATACGCAACAAAACAGATGGTCTATATGAATAACTGTATTACCCTACAGAACATTATGACTATTCTAACTCATTCCAGTTTAATCCCCAATTAAAGAGCTTTGTAAACCAGAGTTAGGGTTTAAAATAGCTATCAAGTACCTAAGGGGAAAAGCCTACAGTTCAAAACCAGAAACAAGTGTTAATCTGGAAATATGAAGTTTAAAGTTACGCTTATAAAAAAAAACAACCTTCAGGGAATTATTAAAAATTAACATTGTCTGCGCCAGCCATGTCCGCTGCAGCGCCCAGCAGTGAGCTCAGAGATGCTCTGACAGTGCCATTACACACAATTAAACTCCACTTGCTGTGTTTGAAGCACACCAGTTCAAATCGTGGGTCTAATCTCACTGCAGTATCTCACACGTGTGATTCACCATCTTGTACCAGCAATCTGCGAGCGGTTTCTTTTTGTCCATATCTTGAAAGTTTAGAGTTCTTCTGCCTGAGTGCTTGTCTAACGTGTCACAGCATTAAACCTCCCTTTGCCTCCCCAACGCATCTGAATTTTCAGACCCTTCTCACGGGAACTGCCTGAAATTTGGGATACGGAATGCAAGGATAAATAACCACGCTACCTATACATTGTATAAGGAGGACGGTGATTTTTATCTGAACAGGTCACTGCAGTTCTCCCAGAGGTGTGACAATCAAGCCAGGAGACACCCACTCCATCTGCACGTAGCTGCCTCCACGAAGGCCCCCCTGCCATCAGGAGGC